TGTGTAATTTCTATACTTCTATTATTTCAATGTTCAGGAAGTTCTGTTACGTGCAAATAAGTGGCATGGGGTATAGCTGAGTGTTAACAGATGCTTAGGAGATGAGAGAGTTCTTGTCCAGTGCCCATACTGCTGCATTCGAGCGATGGCACACTTAGCATGAAAAAGCACAACACTGTCCTAATTGGAGGTTTACGGCTCAGAACAGGTTTGGTAGCTCTCACAGGTGAGGCAGAGCAAATGACCACCTGTAGTGGATATGAATGCTGTGACTTATTAAAGAACCAACAAGATGAGAGCTTTCACCCTACCTGGTTATTTCATATGTTCACTCACTCATCCTTGTCCCCCTGTCGCTGTTAAGTTTGCTAGATATCAACTTTGAGAGCTCAATAATGAATTTTTACTTCTACTGAACTTCATACTATGCTTCCTGTATCGTAGCATTTTGTTATCTAGTATGCTAAGAAAATTGTATTTTTTTAATTTGTATTTTGTCGTAATAGTTGTTGAAGTACTTAAAACTCTTTTTATTAGTAATAGAAACAAATGTTAAAGTCTTTTTGGGATTGAGCAAGGGGGTAGGTCTATCTACTGTATGAAGTCATGAGCCAATCTGAAGAAGTGACTAAATATGTCTAATACTTCAGAGTCTGAGCATCCAGAAATAATTTCTGTTATCTTCTTTCTGCAGAATGATCTACTACTTGGACCCATCAGTTCTTTCAGGCGTCTCCTGTTTTGTTATGTTCCTCTGTTTGGCTGATTATCTTGTTCCTGCTCTTGCACCTAGAATCTTTGGCTCTAATAAATGGTGAGGAAAGCTTGAATTAAGAGAGTATAATTAAATTATGAACTTTATCAAAATGGATATCTGACTTGCAAATATCAAATGATTACTTTATAGTGTTATTGTGGTAAGAAATTGGCAATCTGTAATATATGAATTGAGGACACTAGATGTCCTTCATTCTTTTTCTGAAAGATAACTACTACAACATATCTTTATTATTCATTTTCTTCTAGAAAATAAGATTTTTGTCAAAGGAGTAGGCACGTTCTTTGCTCTCCATTAAGGATGCTAGTTAGTTCTGCTAAACTAGTTTTTGGTAATTAATGGTTAATAGATACTGAGTACTAAAATTAAGAAGAGGGGTATTGGATTATATGTTTGGCAAGAGTGACAATAGTAAATCCGATGAAGGAGAAGAGCAATGCAGGAAATATGAATGTGATCATAAGTGATTGAAACAGATTTGAAGAAGAGCAAGGCTTATATAAAAACAGTAAGCTGGAGAAGAACCTTATTTGAACTAAATTTTGAGTTAAAAGTAAATTTTAGTGTACCTGTTTTACGATGACTAGTGGATAAATGTTCTTGTCTAATAATGAACCAACATAAAAGCCAAGTAATACACACTGGTATCAGATTAAAATCAATGATCTTCTGCTTTGAATGAGGTTGCTCTTTGGGAGTCAATTTAATAGAGTCAGTGTTCAGAAAAATTACTTGGGCAATTGCATTACAATGCTCAATAAAAATAAGGTATAAAACCAAGCAAAGTAAATGCTTTAGCAAAGTGAAAAAAAAAACACCACAAAACCAAACTGCTAGAAAAGTATCATGGAAGATTTTTAAAATTTCAGATTAAATCTTGAATTCTTATTTCTGGCTTTTATTAAAAGGACTACGGAACAGCAGCAAAGATTTCATGAGATTTGCAGCAATCTGGTAAAATCTCGTCGCCGAATTGTTGGCTGGTGGAAACGTCTCTTCACGCTGAAGGAAGAGAAGCCTAAAATGGTATTGAGTTCCAGCAGTTCATCTCTATTGTCTTAAGATTTTACTTGTTTTGTTTTGTCGTAAGTATTTTAACAAGGCACATGTCTGTATAAACTGGTATTTCAAACCAAGAACCAGTGGTTCTGGCTGTGATTTAATGCCAGTCACACATCTTATTCAGACTTGGAGTGGCAAGAGACAAGACTTTAAATTTGCAATACAGTGCAGTTAGGAGCACACCCTTGATATGAAGGTAAAGCTAGATGCAGTCTCTTTGGATAGGTCAATTTTTGGAAGCACATCTTGTTTCCAGTGTACATGAACTCTCTGAAAAACTAGGTCTTAGTCATGTGTCAGGTACAGAAACTGAGTTTAGTGCCCTAAAAACAGCTTCAGGTACTGTGTGAGGCTGAAGTTGTGTCGATGGGGATGGCATAGTCTGACTCGAAGGGATATCTGGACGGAAAAGAACTGATATCCTGTAAAACTGATGGTCTGAAAATAAATGAGAACATACAGTTGTAGACTCTGTAATCTCAATTTCAACAAGCCTATGCACAGGTATCACGTGTGGAAGAGCCAGTAAACTTCAAGTTAGTTTTAAATGTTGAAGTGTTGCTGGATATTGAAGGAAAGGGGGAGAATTCCCAACAGATCTGTGATAACTGTTCCCTTTTCATTTTCCAGTACTTCATGACCATGCTTTTTTCTCTTGCTGTGGTTGCCTGGATTGGACAGCAAGTTCACAATCTCTTTCTGACCTATCTTATTGGTAAGTGCACAGCGTGCAAAACAGAAGTAATTGTTTTGGTAGCTGCTTGAAATGGTGTGAGGCTGGTAGAAGCAAATTTTGATTATTTGTGTGGTGATTTTTTTTGTTGCAGGGTGTTATTTTTCTGTTTTCAAGCAGTTAATGGGGTTTAAGGGAAGCAAGGAATTTCAAGGTAACAGAAGCTTGTTAAAGGAATATTAAGTAATTCCCTATTTTTGTTTTTTAATCTCTAGTAAGTTTCTTGTTGCTGTTTCCTGGACTCAACCAGCATGGGATCATTACAAAGTATGTTGGAATGGCCAAAAGGGAGATAAACAAACTTCTCAAGCACAAGGAAAAGAAAAATGAATGAAGACTTAACTGCTGTTCACTCCTGTAAAAGGTTTCCTTGGGAACAGTTTTGAGAATTAACGTATGATTAAGATAATAGAAGTTGTATTGCTCACTGGCTTTTTTTTTTTTTTTATTGGCTCCCCGATGGAATGAAAATGTCACTCTAGAAACTGCTGTGGGTTTGTGTCTCTTGCTGTGCTGACTCTAGGGTTCTGCAGCCTGCAGCTGATTTTACAGGAAAGATCGGATGTACGGAGCTTATCCGTACTTACGAAGTTTGGAGTCTTCACCAAACTAAGAAGCCTCATAAATACATACCCCAACTCGAAGAACAGCAGAATTGTAATGTGTGATAGCATTTCCGTAACTGTGGTAATTTCACTCATTAATTTGTAGCTACAGCGAGTATGAAAGGCAGTTCTGAAAGCTTACGCTTCTTGGAGACTTGTTACTACTGATACTTGTGGAAGGAGGACAATTAGCTAAATAAGAATGATTATAGCTGAGGGTGCATATCTGAAATCGCTGCAGAAAGTGATCCCATTGTCTCACTGAATTTGTTTGCTTTTTTTTGGCTGTGTATACCAGATTTTCTGTTGACTCGGGATCTGGAATATATACATTTGTAGTTCAGTTACTTAGCTGTAGCGTAAACTTCAACTCATTGCACTGAGACTGTAGAAAATGAGTTAAGATGTGTGTTACCTTAACAGCTGATTGTTCTAAAAACTGCTGTTGTCATGGAGCCATGTAGCATGTTTGGTTTTATGAATGTTGTTGTCTGTACACAAAATCACCTTGAATATGCTAGACTCGTCTCTGTAAATAAGCCTGTCTGAATTGTTTGTGCTTTTCTATCACCTCCCCCTCCTTTTTTTAAAATTGAACTTTTTTCTTTACAAAGCTGAAACCTGTGTTAATGCATTTTAAAAGTTTACTGTTTTAAAATGAATTCTCTTCAGTGTCTATTGTAACTGTTGAATAGATAAATACAGACTAAAGAGAAACTTCTTGAAGTCTGGTTCTTTGTGGACACACACAAGGTTGTGAAAATGCATTTTTCAGCTGAGACTGGGAGCTGGGAGCAGTGTGTCTGTGTGCGGTGTCCTGGCAGACACGCTCCTTTGCTTTGAAATAGCTCACTGTAGGTAGAACTTCTATCAGCGATGACAGTACACTGACAGCTCCTGCTGCCGAGGGAAAGGCAGTCATGTCATCTGCAGCTGATGAACATGGATAGAAGTGACAGGTTGGGGACAAACCAGATGCAGTCGGGAGACACTGTGGTGTGATCTCGGTGCTGTGATGTTGGAAACGCTTGGCTGCACCTGCCCAGGCAGGGGCAGGAAGAAATGTGGGGTGTGAAGAGGCAGGTGATGATGGGGGCGGTGTCGCAGGGCGGCCCCTGTGCCCCACACCGACACCCCATCGGCGCTGCAGCAGCCGCTCCTGCTTTAAGGAAAAATTGGGTACAAGCCCTGCTCCCCGGCGTGGTGCGGCCTTGCTCACCTCAGACTGCTGCTCCCCCGCCGTGTGGAGTGCTGCGCTCTCCTTCAGCGTGCATGGGTCCGTTAAAACTCCGATAAAAGTGCACAATATCATAAGTTCCTCCGCTGTGCTTCTGCCAAACCCCGCTTTTGGCTGTTTCTCCTCCTTTCTGTCCCTCCCGCCCCGCTGTACAGCCTCGCGCTGCGCAGCGTCCCGGTTGCTGTAGGAACCCCGGCCGGGGCGTCGCTCCGGAAGTGCGTTGTGCCGGCTCTAGACCAATGGGGATGTCCAGGGCCGGGACGCCCAATCTCGCGAGATTTCACGAGGCGCGGCGCACCACCTCGCGCCCATGGCCCTCCCATAATCCCGCGCGGGCGCCCGGCCTCTTCCTTTTCCGCCATCTTGCTGCACCGGTGAGTTGGTGGGTGCGGCGGGTCCCGGCCGCCATCCGCCGCCTCCCGACCCCATCCGGGCCCCGTCTCCGCCTCCGCCCGCCTTTTCGTGGCCTTGAGGCTGCGCCCGACAGGCTCGGCCCGTTTTGAGCCATCGGCGTATCCTCTAGCGCTCTCTGGAGCCTCCGGAGTGTAGGGTGGGGGGAAGCGCACTCCTGCCCGTGGCTCTGCTCTCCACAGACATGCGGGGCGGGAGCCGGGGGCGGGCGCTGGCGCGGCGGCCGGGCCCGGGCCGGTGCGGTGGGAGGCTAGGCTGGGCCGGGCCGCGGAGTTCTGTGGACTGCGGGGAGTGAGGATCGTGCGGCGCGGCCCGGGAGGAGGTAGCTGAGGGCTCGGGGAGGGGGCGGTGGGCCGGGCCCTGGGCGAGGGGGCGGCCCTCAGGAGGAGGGGGGCTGGCTGCGCTCCCCCCGTGGGCAGGAATTAGCCAGACCTGCTTGGTTGGGGGTCCCTGGGTTAGCGGTACAAGCCCTCGTGTGCCGCAGGACGTGGCGAGCTCAGGAGTGACCCTGTGGCCCAGGTGAGGGGACCTCCTGTCCGGGTCCGGCAGTGCGGTGGCTCTGTTAGTAAGTGGGGCCGCGGTACCCAGCCCTGTGCTACCGTGTGGTACTCGGGGGCTCTTCTCCTCATCCCTGCAACGCGAGAGCTGATGCCCGGTTTCCTTCCCAGAGTGCTGCGACGCCCTTTGGTCCTGCGTTTTTTTGCAGATAAGCAACCCGAGCAGTGTCTGTTATGTGTAGTGCCATCTGTGGCCTAGTTTTTGAACAGGGCTAGTACTGCATAATTGGGTTTTAAAGTTAAAAAAGATTCACCTGGGGAAGGTGTCACGCTGATGAAATGTTGTCTAGGTGGTGTTTTTTAAATGTTTGTTTATGCGTGTTGATAAAGTCAAGTGTAAATCAGTGTGTCAGACTTCCTGACTTGTCATGATAGTTGTGAATCTGAGAATACTCCAGCGTGTCATTTGATTTGCCTTTTAGCCTAAGAATGCCCTTTAAGGTTTAATGTAATTTTCTGTCTGATCATTTAGGTCTGGAATTAATCTTAGAAACAGCGTGCTGCTCAGTGTCTCTGTGTTGAAAAGCTGGTGTATGTAACTGCCTCTCCTCTTCCCTGCAGGCACCATGGTGCGCATGAATGTTCTGGCCGATGCTCTCAAAAGCATCAACAATGCAGAAAAACGTGGGAAACGCCAAGTTCTCATTAGGCCGTGCTCCAAAGTAATCGTCCGGTTTTTAACCGTGATGATGAAGCACGGTAAGTCCAGAGCACACAGTGTTCATTCACGGTTCCTGTGGCTGCTGTTGTGTTAAGGTGTTTGGTGACTAAAAGTAAATCAAGATGCTTGAGCTGGTTTTGTAAGGCGTAGTTAATTGAGTGGTGTTAATGTAGCTAAGTATCATGGATTTGATTTGTCTGTTTGCTAATCTCCCGTAGGTTACATTGGTGAGTTTGAGATAATTGATGATCACAGAGCTGGGAAGATTGTTGTCAATCTCACAGGCAGACTCAACAAGGTAGGATTCCTCTTTCTGAATTCAATTCTCTAAGAAAATGCTTAAATGAGTCTTCTTTTATTTATATTTTTTTGCTCCAGTTCTGAAATAATTGTAAAGAAGGTGGTATTTATTTAATCTATGTAAATGAGAGTAACGTGGGTATTATCAGTGGTTATCAGATGCTTGTTAATTTTTCTAGATTTATAATGGTATGGTCAACTAATTACATTGTGAATGACTGAGTATGTCAGATGCACTCTGGCAAGTGCTGTGTGTTTCTCTTTAAAGGCTTTCTGGCTACCTTTTTCTCAGTTTCTTTGATGTTTAAGCTATCTATAAGACTTGTCTTAAGATGTGGAAACTGAGTTGCTTTCCAGTTATGTTTAAAACTTGTAAATGACTTCTGCAGCTGGATGGGCTTTGCTTGCAGTTGAGGGAAAGCTGAATGTTATGTTAATTGGTGATCTTTAAGTTCCTGGGTCATATGAAGTATTCATGTGTGTTTTGGACATTGTTAAATTGTTTTATCCAAAATACAGATCTTCTCGTTCTGTGATGACTCGCTGTGCATCATTGTTTCCAATTAAGCTATTTAAGTGACAGGTGGCTCTTTAGTAAAGAAATAAAGAAATTACTTGGTCAAAATATGTTGGGGGGTATCTCCAGGATGAATAAATATTGCAGCTGAAAATTGCTTGAGTGTAGTAGGCAGAGAATTCTGACACCGCCCAAATTACTAGTGTTATGTGTCTGTAGTAAAAGTACTGAATGTCAGGTTTGAGTACAGAGTACAGTTCCTCGAACTCTTCCGGGATGATGTGGTAACAGATCTTCCAGGGTGCATGTGGATATTATGTCTCTCTCGATAGAGCAATAAGGGAATAGTTGGTTGGTTCAGCAAGAAGTCCATCAGTGCAGGAAGGTGTGCTTCTATTTTTCTCTTGGATGTTTATTCAGATAATTGGAGCCAGTGAGGTAACTGGGGGTGGTAGTGGTGGTCATGGTCAGTATGTAATAGGATTCACTTGAAAACTTTGATAACTTTATGCATGTTAATTTTTCCCTGGTTACAGGTACTTTTTGCCAACTGTGTATGATGATTAGAAGTAGAATATTCCCAAGTAATTGCAGGATTTTTGATGATATAGGATGCTTAATAATCTTCAGTGGTTTATAGTGTGCTGTTGTGCTCTCCCAGATCTAGCCATTAGTTTGTGAGTTTAGGTTCAGCAGCGGCATAAGTCACTGTGTTTGAGTGAGGAGGAGGAGGAGGAGGGAAGGCTAAGGAAGTAACAGCTGCATGGCTGTGTGCGAGTCTCAGCTTACCTGAGGGGAAGCCCTGTTTCCTGTTAGGGGTAACAGAGTGTGCTTCTTGGTACTCGGATATTTTGCTGCCAAAAATATTTTAGCTGTAGTTGTTAAATTTCTGCATCCAGTGAATTGGAATGACAAATGTGCTAATCCAGTTTATAAATGGAATTCTGTTTTATAGTGTGGTGTGATCAGTCCCAGATTTGATGTTCAGCTGAAGGATTTGGAAAAGTGGCAGAACAACCTACTGCCTTCACGTCAGTTTGGGTAAGTCAGGAGAAGAGTTAGATCTGTGTCATATGTAAAAATTTGGGGGGTTTATTACGCTGTCATATTGCCTGAGGTGACTTGCCTGACGCCTTTCCTCTCTCATCAATCTGGTGGTCTAAAAACCCACCTTCCATATAAATGCTCTTTTGAACCAGTTTTAAAGGGGCGCTGCTAATCAAGGACCTATTTTTGTTTGGCTTTGGTAAATCCTGGTTTCACCATTACTGTCTACAGTTTACTGGGAAAATGGGACTTTTTCTTTTACAGGTTTTAATTTTATTAATGTCCATTTATAGATGGGGAGGAGTTATGTAAGTTACCAGGTCACTGGAATTAGGTTGTACTACTTCAAATTAAACTTCCTGATTGCGTATGAGTTGCTTAGACATTAAGAGATGAGAGGCTGAGAGCCTCTGTTAAACAAACAGGCACACCACAGAAAATATTACTATGCAGTATGTTTTTCCTTCCCAAAATTCTCTGAGTCAGGAGTAACAAATCTCAGTAATAAATGTCAGTGCACCAGGATGACAGAGCTGCAAGAGTCTTCAGAGGCTCAGCCAGTCTGTCCCGTCAAAGGCAGGATGAGCAGTTCCTTGTCATTTCTGTCCTGAAAGCTGCAGTGATAAGCCACTTGCTTTACCTGTACCAGTGTAGCTTTCTAGTGTGTGTGTTGTATCGAGGTTTTTAAGAGTATTTATAGAGTGGTGGGACAAGAGGTTCTCAGACGCGAAGCTGTGTGGATGAAGTCTGCTGATCATCCAAGCATTGGCATTAGCGGTGACTAAGGCTGCTTCAGTTGTCAGTCCAGACCCAGATACTCATCTGCATCAGTGCACAGTGTTCATAACGCTGAGAGACAGGCGCTCCGAGGTGAGGAGCTGTCTGGCACCATGGCAACTCTACCTGCTCTGAAGAAAAATGTCTGCTTAAAATAGAGGCAGGCTGTGTCTAGAGTTGCTGCCGCTACAACAGCTGAACTGACTTCACAGTGGGGATGTGATGAAAAACTTCTTGCTGAGGCTTAGGCAGATATTTGGAGAACATAAGCCTATAAATGTCCTTTGTGTGCTACAGAGCTGTACTCCTGAGAGGACTTCCTTTTCCGTTGCCTGATAACCTGGTCTTAGTTCTGTTGGGCCCATTCTTACAGAAGCAGATCTTACTGTTGTAACACAGACATGAAGTTAGTGCTGTCAGCACGAGCACAGAGCAAAGCGATAAACTGGATGTTTGTTCTTTCTTGACAGGTACATTGTACTGACAACCTCAGCTGGCATCATGGACCATGAGGAGGCTAGGCGAAAACACACAGGAGGCAAAATCCTGGGATTCTTTTTCTAAAACTTGTAAAAAAAGAGGATACTAATAAATCGTTCAAATGGACTCTGGTGTTTCCAGTTGGTATTTTAATGACTTCTGACACGACCTGTGGTAGTGCTTGTAACAGACAACTCTTCAGCAGTCCTTAAATTCCATCTTTACTGCAGGTGATGTTTGGGTCCGCACCATCCCTGGTCACAACTTTTATTTCTGTTAATAATGTAACATACTTTCAATAATTACCTCTTGAATGACAGTTACAGGTCACTGTAACTCAGTAGGAGGACTCTACCTACTTGGTTGTTGTGTGGTGGGATCATCTCTTGGGTGTTAGAGACCTGTGTCTCCATAGTTATGTGTGACTATTTAGCTAAACAATAGAAGTTGTCTTGCCAGAATGTATTTCCTGTTTATGGTTTAAAAAGTTATGAGATGTGGGATTGTGGAATAATTAAGATCATTGAAATTTCGTTTCAAGTCACAAACTTGTTCCACATCTTACAGGGTAAGGAGTAACTGAGGTAGAGAGGTGAATAATTATTTTTTTTCCATCACATTTCTAGCTTGGAAGTCCTATGAAACACCAGAGTTTTGTGTAGGGTGGTTGTGCAGCTTCTCTTCCTGTTGCCATGAAGCAGTAACCGTTTGGGATTTCTTTAAGTTACTTTTTGGAGCGAGGAAGTAAGGATATCTGCACATAGAGGTAGTAGATGTGTAATACTGAATGAGTTGTTGGTCTCTGTTTCAGGCATCAGATGCCTGACAGCCTGATGTACTTGATAATACAGAAAAATGAACAGATTTCTTTCCAAGCAGTGCGCAGAGCGGTGACTGCAGCTGAAGAGCTGCTGTGAGGTGGTGGAGAGCGGGAAGCAAGCTTCTGGGTGACTGCATTGTCCTTGGACAGCAGTCAGAAGTACCTTGCTTATGTCACTTTGGTCTTTACTAAGAAGGAGCCAGTTTAAATGTGGCAGCCTCTTTCAGCAGGCTTTAAAGCAGCTGTTGTATTTGTGGTTCTCCTGATACAAGCAGCTGGAAACAGTTTTCCATCTTGGTGATACATCCTGGTGCTTGATAGGTAGGGTTGTTTGAGGGTGATACTTCATCTCAAAACTTTTCCGAGAGCATTGGGATGGAAGTGACTCTTCAGGCAGGAAGTCTTTAAACTCCATGGTTTATAACTATGTTTCATTTCAGCCGGTTACTTTTTATGGAGAAAGGGAGACCTGCTACTGCTTAGCAAAAGGGACTTAACTCTTTGTAGACAGGCAGTGCAGTCTCCCGAATGTGGTGACTGTTCCCAGAGGAACAAGAAGCTGGCAACAGAGCTGTGGGAGCGCTTGCAGCAGGTGGTTGGAGGTGTGCACTGGCATCCCCCAACAGAGACTTGCAGCCTGAGAAGAGGCGGGCAGGAATAAAAATGGCTTGTTTACCTGTTTTGTCTCAATCACATGCAGGTTAAGGTCACAAAGTATGGATGGTGGCATCAAATCATTCAAAGGTGTGACCAGTATGGTTCTCTGATGTGAAAGAAAATTGCTTAGCTGAAGGTAAAGATCTGTACGCTAAATTACAAGGAATAGTTTCTAAGTCAAAAGCAGTCTGCCTTCACCCCCTTTTTTATTGGCAAATCAAGCTATTTTGTTACAGAGGTTTTTTTTCTGTCCTTGGTGGGGGTAATTCGGCAGCACTAAGCACTGATTCACACATGAGCTTTTGTATTTCTTGCCCAGAATAACCTTGAAGATCATACCAAGATTCTGTTCCTTTTTATAAAATCCTGATTTGTTCAGTGCAGAATAGAACACAGGTTTCTGATATATGATACAAGAAGGTCAGTGATGCTTTCTTTAGATGAAATTACTCTGGCTTCAAGTTCCCTGCTAGTTTGACATGTTTTAAACCAATTTTGTAGAGGACACATGGGTAGATTGGTTCAGAAGAACTGTGTGTGTATCCTTTACTACCGCAGAGACTTCTGAAGTGAGAGAATTTCTGTTATTCTCAGTTGATGGACTGTTAATTTATTTCACAAATCAGCTTGACAACTTTTTCAGAATTACTAAATGGAAATTAGAGCTTCAGTGTAAGAAGAATGACTTGGAGGGAACAGGCAGCAGCAGACACGCCTTTTCCCCAGTATATCTATCAGATGTCACTACACGCTGGGCTACCACACCTGGAAGCTGATGTAGCTGACCTGGGGTCAGACAATCTCCGAGCTCGCACCTCGCTGAGCTCAGAGAGCTTTACTCCTGTGCAGCTGCTACTGCCTGAGGTCCCAGGAACTTCTGAGGTGGGATTCAGGAGCTGCCAGGTGGGATTATGACATGCCCTGCCATGCAACTGCTTTAGATTGGTTTGCAGAAATTCTTATTCTTGGGCATTTCAAATCTGAAAGTGGTATTGTTTTTTTCTGAGCCTCGGTGATGTTTTCTGATAGGCCTTGGGAAAGCAGGGTGTGTAGGTAAAAGTTAACTACCGTGTGGGGTAATGAAAGGATTAACAGGGAGAGGCAAGAGGGGGGGAAAAAGACCCAGAACAAGTTGCAACTGGCAATCAAGGCAGAGTGTAAGTTTAGAGAAGGTGTTTGGTACCTGTGGAGCAGAGGGGGACATTAGTGGTGCCCTATGGGACAGAAGCAGGTGACTTTCCCCAGCTGCAGTGCCGTGGAGAGGCCAGCATGGATATGTCGTGATGGTATGGATAGTGCCTGGTGATGCCTATAGTCCCTCCTCAGCTGATCACAAGAAAGTTAGCATCAGTGCTCCTAGTCAGAGGTGGTAAAATGGGATGAGAACTTAAAATTTGAGTTGTGAAAATTACTTAAGTCTGAAGCAGTTTGGAGAGGGTTGGTGGCCTATCAAGGGGTACAGCCTGGTCTCATTTCTGCTGTCAGATACATGATTGGTATTTCCAGATGCTGACTGCCATTGCTCCTTCTGCCGTAGTTTGGGAAGGGGATAAAACACGTTCAAACCACCTGCCGTGCATCAAGAGAAATGCCTGTTTAGTGTAGCAGTGGGAAGGTGTCAACAGATGGCAGCAGCTGACTTGGAATCACTGGAGGCTGAGGACGATCTGTGTGAGAGGGGTCCCCAGAGGTCCTGGGGCTTGCTGCTGGTCTGCCTGCTCCTTCTGTGGCGCTAAATATCCTGACTTCTCTACTCGGGTCCAAAAAAATAATTTTTTCTGTCTTTGATGCAATAGAACCTGGTTTAAGATAATACGGGAGGTGAGAATAAGCGTGGATCTTCAAAACACAGCGACAGGATAAAAAGCCTGGTGCCTGAGAGGGGCTGCTTCTCTGGAGATGCGCTGTCTCCTCCTTGTCCTTTTGTTTGTTTTCTGCCACAGGTAATTCAATCAGCTCCCTTCCCCTGAACAGAGTGTGTGCGCTCGCTCTCAAACTCACGTGCCAATTACTTGCACCAGAAATGCGAGCTGTAATTAAACCTTGTTCTCCGATGTCAGAACAGTTATTTCAGTGACTCTTTCACGCCTGCTGGAGTCCAGGCGAAAGCCAGCGATGACAGGCAAGGATGTGCGTGGCGGGAAAGAAGAAAGCGGGAAGGAAAAGGGGTTGAAGTGGTGAGCGAGGCTTCAGGACTCTCCCCAGGGGATTTGGCACCCAGCAGTCATTTCACAGCACCGAGGGAATGCGAAGTCCCTGGTGGCTGGCAGGGGGCCCTGACGTGGGCACCGGAATGGGAAGCGCAGTGACAAGGAGGTGATGAGCACATCAGGATGTTGCAGGTGAGACTGATGGGTGGGGATAAGAGATACCATTTCTTTTTGAAGGATCTGGGGCTGCCAAAGCAAATTACATGCTCTCAAATGACAAGATTTTTTTTTGTGTGTGTTTTGTCTCATGCTATTTAGCTAATTTAGATTTAAGACAAGACTATCTATTGTTCACTGTCTTATTGCCAATTAATGCAAATACCAGGCTCTGAGTAAGTATCTGGATGGATCAACCACAGTTTAGTCCAGAGGACTATTCTAGTAGAGCCAAGGAGTTTCAGAAGCTGGTGGCCTCTGTTCTCCCTCATGCCTGTGATGCTTTCTCTGCTCAAGTGCTGTCATCTTACTCATGCAGTTCTATTTTAAAAGAGAATTATCTATTTTTCCTCTTAATTCTCCTTTTGTTCACCATCTCTTTGCTCTGGTACATTCTATTTTGACTACCAGCTCATGACCTGGTTTTGTTTGCAAATATTTTTACAAAGAGAGAAGTGCTGACAAGGCAAGTGACAAGAATAACTGAGTAAACTTTATTGCTTGATATGCAAAGGTGCATCTTCTGCTGGGGAAAAAAATAAATTCCGTTGACCTTCTCCTGCTCTTCTCAGACAAAGTGAATGAGGATATCTGAAGGCATAAAACTTTCCACTTAATTTTAAGTTGATACAGTTTGGTTTATTATGAGAGACGTGTAAGAATAATCTCATATAAACACTAGAAACAGAGGAGAACATGTACAAAGAAATATTGTTGTTCTGGTCTAGGCAATGGGAGTTTTGACCTTTGCTAGGACCGCTCTTAATGTAGTCAGGTGGTCCTGGTATCCATTATTACCTTGTGGTTACCCATGGTTTCGAAATAGTACTTGTACCACAAAGACAATTGTTCCACCTTCTAAAATCGGAGTTGGGAAGTGAGTCCAGAAGAGACACTTGGTTCTCTTACCTGACTTTGGTATAGCAAAGGTCCCAGACCTCATTCCTGTTGAATTTCATCCCATTTAGTTCTTTCCCGGTGTGAGGGTGCAAACAAGAACAGGAGGGTATGCTAGTGGTGAAGCTGCCGTTAGAAGGGGAGCAAAGCTGGGACGATTATTCCCAGCAAGCAAATTAAAACCCCTTATACAAAATCTCTGATGAGCCAGTGACAAGCACTCTAACAAGGTGATCAAATTCATGTCTGCTTTCTTCCATAGACTGAATGTAGCTGACTGCTACAGCTGTCTTGTGTGTCCTACAGCCCTGTTCCCTCTCCTTCACATGCTGGTTGTGACACTCAGCTGTTTAAGCAAAACCTCTGGGGTTGTGTATTTTGTTCCT